TTATAAAGAATTTTTAATTATATGAAATTCCCTATGAAAAGTGTACGTCGTCAATGAACGATTCTTGAACCCGTTCGGTTCCCCGCTTCCCATTTTACCTAAGCTGACACCCAACTTGGTTGGGATTGGATAGTCTTTCATTATGGGAAGGGAATCCTATTTGAGGACGAACGTCTTCATTTCTTAATATTGTGACTATGAGCGTACGGCCAAGCGCATCACCAAGGGACCATGAATTATTTTCGGTTATTATTCAGTTTAAGTAGTATTATATATATATATATACTTATAATATATATTCATATATGTTAATGTATGTATGATGTATGTATGTATGTATTTGCCTATATTTTCGTTTGTTCTGAAACACTACTCCAAATGATATCTTATATTATTATATTATCAAAACGTTCGAATATTAAGTTGTAGTAGTGAAGTTTAGTAGTGCTTGGGTCTTACACCCAGCGCTCGTTTATTTTCTCGAGTATGTGCTCGATATTACCACCAAGCCGCTCGTACTGAGTAGTGATCGGGTCTTACTTCTTTACACCAAGCACTCGGTCACTGAAGTTAGTGCTCGGTCTTACACCAAGCGCTCGTACTAAGTAGTGATCGGCTTACACCAAGCGATCATACTCGTTTCTTTTATAATCTATCTTGATGAAAATAACGATCGTCCAACTTCAATAGAGTTTTCTCTCTACCGTGCTCGGTCATTGACTGGCATTCGGATTTCTTGATGTAAATTCAAATAAGCTAAGTATTTATAAGCGTACGGTTTAATCATGTGAATTCTTCTAAGTATTATTCTTTGAAGTGCTATGTATATTTCATTGGTTTTCAGCCCTAGAAGTCTTCTTAGCCTTGGCTATGGTTCTTCTTTACGTTGTTCGGTTTTTGAGCTCTCAAGCAGTCAGTCATTTGTTAATTGGATCACTTTATAAGCTAACGTTTGTTTCTAGTCGTTATGCGTGTCAGGGCATATATAGTTGTATTCGGATTTTTCTTTCTCAAACCCGACAACCACCCTCTCGGTCTATTAATCTAGTCTGGCAACTAAGACCTCTCTTGTTCTAGTTCCAAGGTTCGTGCTTGTTCTGGAGTTAGGATTGAACGTTCGGAGAGTATTATCTGTGTCTTTAATAATTTTGCCTCAAAGATGAAATTGAAAATGATTGATAAATGGAAAGATGAAATTGACGATTTGATTCGATAATTTGAAAGATGGTGAACTTGAAGGATGATTGATAATGAAAAGGATGATGACAATTGAGAGATGATTGATTAATGACACGATTGAAGAGAATATGATATGGATGAAATGTTTTGGATTTCTATGGGAAATCGAGCGTGTGTCCGGGGAGGAAGGACCTCATTTCTATTTTTCTTGAATGAATATGAAATTGGTAGGGTAAAGAGAAGGTGGGCAGGGAAACTAATGATGGCGGTTATCCTGTGTTTCGGAGTACTCGTCCTCACGTAAAGGAGGGTATTAGGTCATGTGTGCGGGGGAACGGCAGGAGGTCCTATGTCATTTTATGATTAATTTGGACAGATAGACTAATCCTCGGGTGGTAGCTGTTGTTGTGTTGTTTGTTTGAGGGCCCCATCCCAGGGTTACTACATCACCCTTGGTGGACCGACGAACGTCGTTAGCTACACAGAGATTTCATAAACAGTCCGGACAGTCAGTCTAGTATATAGGCTTTTTTTGTGTGAAACGTAATGATGAAATATATCTTGCGTTGTTTGATTGTTGTGAAATGAAATGTATGTTTATTTTACCTGCATTAATTACATAAGCTTACCTTGTTTCCCTGTCTTGTGTCTTGTCTTGCTTGTTTTGTAGTTCGTTTCCTTTGTCATTCAATGATCATCCGTGTAGGATTATAAGCAGAAGGGAGGAGACGAGTTGCTGGAAGAGCGCTGGATGGAAAGAAAAAACCTAGTTGAGGTTTGAAGGGGTTTATTTTAAGACAAGAAAGGTTGTAGGACAGTTTCGACCGTCAAGTAGTTTCAGTTTTATAGCCTTCAAGGTGCGTCGTTCCGATCACCTTTCCCTTTTGTTGAGTATGACCGTTCGGTTATGGTATTTATTGGTTTTTTTTTAAACCGTTATGTCAGATTTTGTACCCCTTGTTAAATTTTATTTTCTACGTACTGCTTTGTAAGGGGCCGTGCTTTCAGCCATAACCGCTCACGGCTCTTCGTTAGTTCGTCGTAGCTGATATTAAGAAGGATCTTAATAGAATTGATTAAATTAAATATGATTGATTATATTAGATAGTTTAAAGCTTTTGTATGTTATGTTTGTGTGTTGTCTATTATTGGGATGTTAAACAATCAATTTTCGTTTGAATCCATTGTGTTGCATCAATATTCATGTTGCCGCAGGACATCCGTTTTTTTCGTTATTTGGCTAAGAAAGTCTGCCAATTATGATGTATATATATAATATATATATATATATATATATCTATATATAATATATTTTGTGAACATTTCAAATATTAAAAAAAAAAAAAGGAAAACTCTCACTATCATGTGTTCAGCATTTTTCTTTCTTGCTTTTTCATTGTTAAACGATGTTCTTTCTTCTCTACGGCTACGGAGTAACACTGTAATTGTTTTTGAGATTTCTGATTTTACCGTTATTTTTCTTTTCAAAAATAAATAATGGAGGAAAAAAAATTGTTGTTGACATAAATATTTGAGATATTTTGAATAGAGATATATTTTAAAGAGTTAGAGTACACATTCAATAAATATTGTCCAGAAAATCAGAGATATATCACGTGGAGACCTTTATTAGGTCATTTGCTTTAATTAGCCTAAAAGTTCTTTATACACATTAATAACACGTAAAATATCAATACCTAATTAATTTATTAATTAAGAAAACAAAATAAATAATTTTCTTACATATTTAACATTAATAATATTCTAAATGCTTTCTCACTAAATATGTTCATAAATCACCTATTTTATACAAGTCCAAATCAAATTTGATCAAAACAAAATTACTATTTTATAATAATAATAATAATTTCTCACTGATGTTATTCTTATTGGTGAGAATTATAAAATTATACGAATAATAAAATATGAACGAATCACAAACAACGAAGAATAGTCACATATATGGTATAACTTTGTGACAAATTCGACGTGTTTTCTTTTCTTTCATTTTCTTTTCTTCTTCACATTTTCTGTTTCTCGAACATATTTACAATGAAAAAGTCCCTTCGAAGGTTACACGAACCACCTTCTGAAATTTCTATGAAAAACGTTGAATAATAGAAATTCCTTTATGCAATATACATGATTATTTACTTTCTAGACGTTAAGTTCTAAGAAAACTCGATTCCGAGATGAATCTTTGTTTATAGGCTATAATATACGTAATGATGTTTCATTTTTTCGACATGGAATATTTTCCTTCAGAATTCTAGTCCAGACTGAAAAATAAAAGAGTGCTTCTTTCACATTTTTTTAACTGAGTTTTAATACTCTTAAAAATAAATATTTTTTTTTTAAATTAGAAATATGTTAGATTTCTATTATTATAAGAATCGAATATATTTTTTTTTTATTTTCTTTATTTATTTATAGTTTTATGTTTCAATTCTGGAAAATCAAAATAAAATAGAGATTTTTATATCTTTTTATAACATAAATTAAAAAATATTTATTTTTTATCTTATTTAAATATGTTTCTGTTACCAAAAGTATAATAATGTCTAAAATATCTGGTGTTAAAACTTTTTTTTTTACTAATATGTCATCTTTTTATTTTTAAATAGTGATGTTTTGATGGAATTAAATAACTTTTTTGTTACCTTTGTATATATATTTTCTTAAGTAAAAAATTATTTTAATAACTTATTATTATATGCTTATTTTATTTATGTGAACTACGAAATATAGGTATAAGTGCTAGAAAAATAAGTCTCTGAATGAAAATAGAGATTATATTTATTTCATATTTTGTACAACTATATATATATATATTCATTTATATAAGCTTTTTAAAAATGATAGATTTACAATATAGTTGATAGGTTAATTTTTAAGTTTTAGGATGATATTACAAAACTACTGTTGTTTTGTTCTTTGATTCGACCATGAGAGTTTCTTGGAGAAGGAGCAATGGAATTTATTTATTTAATTTTTACTATGATTATTATTTTCAAAATAAATAGTTTGGTAAATTAAAAAAATAATGTTGGCTTCATATGATTTGTGATTAAAGTTGTCCTAACATGTCTAAAGGGTATAGAAAAAACATTATTTTATACTCATATATGGTAGTTTACAAAGATTTTTTGTTTTTATTTTTTTTTTTTTTATATATTTTTATTTTTAATTTTTACTTTTTTTTTAATATAAATTCGCTTTTACACACACACATATAACATATATAACCAAAGAAAAGTATTTTATCATCGTAGAAAACTTTCCTACGTTATCTGTTCTTCGTTTAGTCATTAAACACCAGAAAAACCTAGTAGATATAAATATATTTCTGGAAAACCTAATAACATTGTACAAATTACACTATTCTAGAACAATATTTTCAAATACAGAGCTAATTGATGCATGAGCCAAATTTTTAAGAAGATGTAGAAACAATCAAAGTGAATTTTACTAGAACAAATATGAAGCTCACTTTTTTCTTAATTTTCTTAGAATGTTGTTTATGAAACTTCCATTTGATTTCCTTGTCCTTTTTAAAAATCCCAAATTTCAACGCATAATAAAAGTCCAACTTTCTAAGAGTCTTCCTCTACGCAATATAATTTTATTTATACACATAATCTATTCGTTCCTTTGGTTTATATATGTGACATTCTAAATTTATGTCACGATATTCATACATGTTTAACCATCCAAAAATACAAAATTCTCCCACTCAATATTAAATAGTGGTGAAAACGACGAATAACAGCTTCGTATAAACAAGAGGAAGCAGTGGAGTGCAGTGGAAGAGGGACAACAGAATGGAGCATTTCAACAAAGCCAAGGCCGTGAAGCTACGGAGCCACCTAGGGAAGTACCTGGTGGCCGACGACGACCACCATAAAATCCGTCAGAGTAAAAACGGCTCAACCAGAAAGGCAATATGGTTGGTGGAGCACGTGAAAGGGAAGAGCCACCACGTGCGTCTCAGGAACTCGAACGGACGTTACCTAACGGCGACGGACGCGCCCTTTCTGTTAGGCGTGACGGGGAACAAGGTGGTGCAGGGGAGTTTGGAGGAGGGTTGGGATGGGAAGTTGGAATGGGAACCCATAACGGAAGGATTCCACGTGAGACTGAGAAGCTGGTGCGGGAAGTACCTTAGAGGGAACGGTGGAACGTTACCGTGGAGAAACTCGATCACGCACGATGACCCTTATAGTTCCGTCACTCATGATTGGATCTTGTGGGCTGTGGAGCCTCTGGAGTTTCCCGACAAACTGCTTTCTTCGCCGGAGACTCACTTTTCGTCGGAAGAACCGGGTTCGCCCACGTCGCTTTCGTCACTGTCGTGGGTACGTCTTTACGCTCTTCCTCTTACTAGTCAACTTCAACTTTTGTATTTTCTTGATTTCTAAGATAAACTTTTCTGAGAGGATAACGAAATTCATTTTTCATTATCTAAAATTAATTAGCAGTATTTATTAAAAGGCTTAAAAACACTTTTCTTTAATTGTTAGAAAACACTTAGTTTTTAGTATCTGTCATGAATTAATATCACATTGAATTTTCTTAGGTGGTAACCAACGTGCTTGGATTGAACTCACTTAGGTGTTTTGTTGAAAAATAAAGAAGAAAAGAGAATAAATCGAGTTGCCATAAATGAGTTACCTCTCGTGTTAAAAAAATATCTCCATTTGTTACCATAAATGAGTTACTTCAATTAATTTGGAATAAAATATCTCCATTTGTTACCTCTCGTGTTAAAAAAAATACATTTATCTCTAAAAAATGTTAATTTCAGCTCGTCTTTCTTTTTAAAGATTTTTTTCTTTACTTTTATTAACATTATTTTAAATACACTTATTAGTAAAACCTATAACACGGTTTTAAGGGTTGAAAACGTAACACGGTTTCGTTTAAACCAAATAGAGATGCAATGGATATTAAATTAGAAATTAGAGTGTACACTAATTTTGAAATTAGATTTTATATACAATTCGTGGGGTGGTGTTTTAACATGCAAGAAATATAAGTGATATAGTTTATTATATTAGTTAAAGAATAAAACATTAAACAAAACTATTAAAACAAGTGGAATGATTGTATCTCCCACCATAGATATTTAATTTCGCCGACATTGTATGATCATAAGCCTCTTTAGTTTGTTGACCATAGACTAAATCTATCAATTTGATCAATAGATTTATGAATTATTTTCAATTTATTTTTAAAAAAAGCTTTCATTTTGTTAAGAGTTAAATATGTTTTTAGTCTCTCAAGTATCAAGTGATTTTAATTTTATCAAACTTTGGTACACTTTGATCATTATCCTTAAGGAAACTATAATTTTTCGTCCTCAAAAACTAACGGTGTTAAATTTAATCTGATGTGGCTAACGGTGTGCCACATCGCTTTTTTTTTAAACGTGGCAACGTGACCTTGTGCCATGGCAGAAGAGGAAGAAACTCTTCCTATGTTGTGTGACGAAGAAGCTCTGCCCAGATCGCACCTTCACAGTGTCGCTGTCTTCTCCGAACAACCATTAGCTCTTCACTCAACGCCACCTACAAGTCAAGGTTCTAGATGCTCTGTCACTCCCAAAACCATAGCAAAAGATAACCTTATGATGAAACAAGTTATGTTTAGTTTATGGAAAAGAAAAGAGAACAGGACACCAAGACTTCCCTTTTTCACCAAACATAACACCATCAAGATAACTCTTATTCACCTATTTCCCCTTAATTCTTGGATCTAAGATTTTTAGGGTTTCTGCACCAATCTTCTTCGCCATTCTTCCTTTTCCCATTTATTCTTTCTCCAGCGCATTTTTTTATCTTCCATTGGAGACCCTCCTTCGCTCCAAACCTAAGAGGATCGTTCTTTTCGTGCTAATTTTCTTGTGTCCAATTATTGTTGTTTTATTATTAGTAAGTCATGCTTGATCATTGGGGAAATGGTAATTCTCACACACAACCAAAAATTTTTTGGTTCTTCTCTTCCTCATTCTGGTGGCGGGGGAACGGGGTTTTTCCTTTTCCCTTTGTCTTTCCCTTTTTGCCTGTCATGTGTGTGTGTATATATATATATATATATAT